ATGTTGTTTCAGAAATGATATTTTGGTATCACTTTAAAATTTGTTGCACCTTTTTGTAAATCTGATGACTGCTTACAAAAACAAAAACATAAAAAACAAAAATGAACAAACAAACAAAAAACTGTAGTGGAATGGTCAGTGCTTCCTCCCACGTACGAGCTAGGCTCATGCTTTACCTTCATCTCCTGGTGCTGGTCCAGGTGTTCCAGTTCCAGAGGGCTTTCCCCATTCTCACCCTCTTGTACCGTGGCTTCTGCCCTTTCTCCTTCCAGGGGGAGGACTGGGCCTACACTTGGAGTCCTGCAGCTACTGTCAGAAGCATTCCCATCACAGTCATTTTGTGTGGGTGAGGCAGGGCCTGCGGTACTTTCATCTCTTTCTCCATTCACTAAGTTAGTATCGAGCAAAGGTTCCGAAGTTTGAATAGGAGTCTCTGGGCTAAGGGTGGCTGCTTTCTCCTCCTCACATTCTATCTGGTTTTGTGCCGCCACTACGCCGTTAGCCACACAAGCCGGTACACCCTGAGTTGGATCCGGATCCTCTTCTTCCTGCTTCGGTGGTGGGTGCTGGGAGACGAGTTTTTGCTGAGGTGTGGTTGTCAGTCCAGATCTTCCTGGGGTTCTAGAAGCATTTAAGTTCATAGCAGAATCTTTCTTCAAATCACCGTAATTTGATAATGTGCTAAAAGATAAAATGCAAACGAGGAGTGAAAACATTGGCATGGACAAGTTCTAGAATAAAAACAAGTTTACTGCAGCGCAAAAGGGATATTTACTGAAGACATGTTTTTCACCTCTGATGGTTTTAGAAACAGAGATAAGAACATTCCAGTGCAGTTCTCAGTGTCTTGGGATGCTAACCACATTTAAACAAACATTTCAATAAAGATGATAAGCCTGAGCTTTACCTGTATGGTCTGAAACATTTCCTTGGGCTATTTGTTAATATTGATTGTTAGTACAGGTTTACATAGCAAAAATATTTATATTTAATAAAACCATCTTTCCCCAAGATTTTTATTTTCTTAACATTTTAAAAACAAATATAGTCAGCCCTCAATTCATCAACAGGTTAGAAACCAAAAGTTGTTTTTGTTTGGAAAGAGGAACACATATTCTGAAAAACTTGGTTACACATGCTGCCACAGCCTCCTGACTGAGCTCTCTGCTTCCACTCCCGATTCCCTCCAATCTAGGCTCTCCAAGTCAGCCACAGAGATCAAACTCTGGGAGGGCTTCCCTACACACCTAAAGGTAAATCTGACATCCTGACCATGGCCTACGAGATTCTACATATGCTACTAGCCCCGGCCTCATTAAATTCCATTTCCCCTCACTCACGAGCTCTTGCCATACCTGTCTCCTTGCTGTCCCGCCATTCCCAATAAGCCAATGCCTGCACCTTTGAGCTGCTGTTCTCTCTGCCTAGGACAACCTTTTCTGAGACATTAGTGTGGCTTACTCCTTTCCCATCATTTAGGTTTCTGCTCAGATGTCACCTCCAAGAAGTTTCCCTGGATTATTCTATTATAGCACACTCCACCACTCACTACACATTTTATTTTCGTTTTATTAAAATCCCTTATTATTCCTCGACATTAGCTAGCACCATAATAGTACGATGGAACCTAACTGCCAATATATTACAATGTTCCTGTGGAAATATTTGTACAGCCTTTAAATCTAGGATTCCAGGGAGGAAAAACATCAAACTCTGGGCTGGAGTCTTGGAGAGATTCCTATGACCTAATGAGGAGAGAAGATAAATATAGACGGATACTCTGGGAGGGAACAGGATGTGCCTGTCTTGTTCTCTGCGTTATCCCCACTTCTTAGCATAGCACTTGCCGTATGGAAGGTGCTCAATAAATATTCGATGAGTAATAAATAACTGTGACTATGATGATGATCATGGCACTAATTCAATATTAGCAGCTAACATTTATTAAGTGCCAGAACCTATACTAAGCCCTTCATATTAATTATCTTGCTTCATCCACATGATAATTCCAAAATTGGGACCCCATAAATCGAGGCTTAGAAACTTACATAATGTGGCCAGTGTCACAAGGCTAACAAATGACGAGCCGGAGTTCACACTATGAAGTCTGATGCCATATCCCATGGCCTTAACTGCACATTACAATACACTGGAACATGAAGGATGGAGTGAGGATCAGGTGAGTCGGCCGCATACAAATGTGGGAAGAAAGTGCAGGGCTCGCATCTTCCCCAGTGCAAGTGGGGGTCACCGGGTAGAGGGAGGTGGGGGCAGGGCAGAGCAGCCAGGGCCATGGACAATGCCGGATGTGTGTTACCTTCTTCCTTCACCCACCCTCCCAGACACTGCTGACCTGGACTGCAGAATGGAACAGAGAATAGCAACAGAAAGAAGGGACGTGGTCAAGTTCAGTACCATAGGAAGGGAAGGAAAAAACTGGTAGGGGAAAATGTCATATACGTAAAAGTTTAAGGTTGTCAAAAGAAAGAAATGTGACACACTCCGCCATTGATGTGCGCCATCTAGAAGAGCATACCCTTGGCCTAGATAATTTCCCTAGCAGTCCTTCGAGATCTGAGTCACACTGTCCTCCTTTTCCTGGCCATCAACGTCCAGAAACCCAGTGGAAAGACCCCCAGGAGACTGTCTGTACCAAACTTTGGGCTTGCTTAGGATTTTTGGGAAGGACTGTTTTGGATGAGAGGTGGGAATTTTCTGTAATAAGTGACATCCAGGGCGTATATGTGGGGGATGGGGTAGGGATGAGGTGGGGAGGGAAGGTTAGTAAAAGCAATGGTTGAACCAGTAGGTGCTATGGAGAAAAACATTTGGCCTGGCAGTGTCTTTGGGAAAAACCAACGCTCAACTTTGGGAAAATGTTATTTATTTCTTCCTAAAATCTTGAAGTCTTTTATAGGTTAAAAAGACTAGCTTCTCTTACTCTAAAAAAAGAAAGAAAGAAAGACCATAGTAAAAAAAAAAAACCACACACACTAAATTCATTTGCTCTAATACATCCTCTAAGTCACTCATCTTAATAAAACAGTTATTTAGATTATTGCAAAAAGCAATAGCATGATATGTGGGTAAGGTCTTAGTAGTGTGGTATGATCTATGACCCCACTGTGACAGACATTGGTTCTTCTTGTCAGCTTACTGTGGTCACTCAGAGCCTGCCGAATCTCCCTCCGTTCTACAAAGTGCTGGTTTAAGCTGCAATAACTGGGGTAAAACCCGAGAGCTATGCTGCAGGCTCATGGACATCACTCCACAGGAAACACAAACTTCCCATTAAAGTACTACAACCTAATGCAACGCTAACCCCTCCAGACACTTTCAGGGCCAGTTTACTGTTAACATCCCACTAAGAATATATAATTATTTTGTGTATTGGCAGTGGAGTCTGCCACAAGTAACAGCCCTTCTCTCGATTTGCCAAAATGCTCACATGACATCCTAGTTCACTTGGAGCAAGTTTGCTTATAATGTCCTAAGTTATAGCACATTGCTCCTTAGAACCCAAACTTCAAGCTTTGCATCAAAATATGACTTTGAATGTGTGAAGTCTGAAACAGTACAAGAAAACTGGTATTAATAAGTGGGAAAACTGTGTGCTTTTCGTGTAGGGAGAGGAATGTAAATAGTGGGTTATCAAATTTGTGAGGTTCAGAGGACTGAGCCTTTGGAATACTGACCCATTCAGGGGGTTCAGGCTCTGGCAGGCACTATAATTAGGGTTCAGGGCTCCAGTGACTTCTCATATTCATGCAGTCACTGGACATGGCCCTGGAAACCTGCAAAGATGAGGGGTCACTCTGTGCAATTAAATCAACTTGCCCGACAAAAGAAAACGTTTTTAAGTGGAATTGGATATGCTAGTAAAGATGACTATACTTTAAGATAGCAAAGGTATTAAAAATCCTCCTTCAGAGGGGGAGATGTTGAAGTTTAAATATTCATGATTCAAGTCCCCACAATTGATTGGGAATGAAGACAGGCTTCTGAACTAATTTTTTCCTGAACTTGTTCCTAAGTGTAGGCGCCTTTTAAATGAGGGACAATGTAGTTTTCTCATTGGGCATAATTTCTAGAAGATTTTGAAAGCATCTTGAAGCTATAATTAATTACATAAATAACAATAAATCCTGCAAATGAATAATAAAATCATCCAACAGAGACCATTCCCAAATATTACGCTGGAATGAATGGAAATATATGTCCTCAAGGATGAAAGTAAAGTTGTAAATACAGTTGTGTTTAATTGTATACAAACTTTTGGTGACACATAAAAATAAAATGCTTCTGATAAAAATTTTTAAAAATTCTACTTGTCAGCTATGGGAATTCTAAGAAAAAATAATTGAGGGTCATGTAAGAAGAAAAGCAACTTATGTGAGTTTGTTTTTATCTCTGAATGAGAAATATACAGCATTTCACTCACCTTTGTTGAAACATCAGGACTAAAGAATATAAACTGTATCTAATAAATATAAAACTGAATTTTAGCATTGTCTAGAGATATTGACTTTTGCTATTGTCAATATCTCTTCATAACACCTAGTACAGTGGAGTGGGGAGAGGGGAAACAGGGACTGAACGGATATAGAAGACCCACGTTAAATAAAGTGGGTCAGAAAGGAGCCCATGGAGATGGGACAGGCTCACTGGAGTTACATTCACAAACACACAACGATCCATTGTAAGTGAGAAACAGATAAAGACAATTTCCCAACCCAGATATCCAGCAACCAACAGAGTGACCCACAAGGAGTAACACGCAGAGTGTCATACACAGACACAGAGGAAATGAGAGAGAGCATATCTATAGATCTATTATATATAGCATACAATGAAGAAGCTACACATAGGTAATGTACAGTAAATGACAATTCATATTAAGGCAAGATTAAATATTTTTAAAAATCACTTTTCTAAAGGCCTACCACACCTAATAGCAGATCTATTTTTAATTTAGAAAACTTATTAACTCTATCATCGTTTTCAAAAACCAGCTTTCATCTCCCCTCTGCCTTCTCCCATTGTATGTTAGCTCTTACCTGCCTCCTTCAAAGCGACTGATGAGATCTGATACTTTACTGGATTTTTCTTTTGCAACACAAGAAGCAGAGACAGGCTTAACTTCCTCCATCCTTGGTGCTGCACAAGATAAAGCTTTATGCCTGGGGGTTTGGTGTGTACTGGACAAAGGTGAATTTTGCAGATGTAATGGCTTTGGAGGCACTGTAGAGAAACAATGAACAGAATTCAGTATTTCCTTCACATACACACACACAAAATTTGGCGTCCTAGGTATAAAAATCTTCAGCATTATCAATTTTTTATAAAGAGGTCTGTCCAATTTGTAGTGAACCTTCACCAAAGGACCTTTATCTATCTGGACATGTGCTCTGTGTCCTGTGAAAATTCCATCTCCAAGATTCGGGTAGGACCTTTAATTTTGGGTCATTTTAAATATGGTATTATTAAACACCTAGGGAACTACCTATATAGGGCTATTCCATTAGAGATAACATAGCAGTTGCTTAAATAGAGGAAAGAAAGTGCTAAAACTGAAATTAATTCCTAGAGATACACCATTTGCTACAAAACACATTTTCTAATAACAGAGTGAATAACAGATATACCAGAATCCAGAGCTAGTAAGTTAACCAAAAAAGCCAACAAAGCAACAACAAACAACACTAATATTGCGCCACCACAGGATCTTTCCATTTAACCAAAGCGCCTTATGTCATTTGATTTTAGATAAAATTGTTTACTTTACTGTCTTTTGAGGTAGGTACCATTATTCACCTCTTATGTCTCAGAAGGCTTATTGAGGTTAAGTGACTGGCCTGGGGTAACAAGACTAATCTGATTTTATGACTGGTATCCAGACTCTGGCTCCTTTCATTATCAGCACTGCTCCTCAACATAAATCCAGCAAAAGGCGGACATAGAAATTCTATTATTATTGTCTGCTAGCTTGCATCAATGTGCCACAAATCATGTGCTTACTAATAAGCACTTCATTCAATTAACAGAATAGGAACAGGCCATTTCCCCAAATACTAAAATCTATAGACTTTCCCGTAACAGATGAGAAACTTTGTAGATAAGAAAATATAATATGCCATAAGAGCTTAATTTACATTTTGGACAAAAGATTATAACAATGTAGGTGTTTTTCTATAACGTTTTTTAACAAATCAAATAGAATCATATCTTTTTTTTTTAACCTTTCTCCTAATTTCTGGAAGAAGGGTGGGGAATTATGTTTCCTAATTATATGCCCCATTTTCCCCCAGCTGGTTACCCTGGTTTTCAGTCATCTCATCTCTTTTGTAAACTCAGTTGACAGTTGCCTGACGCTCACCGGCTTAGATTTCATTTCTGTGCCAGTTATCAATTCTTACAGAGAAGAAAAAATACATATATATCACAATGAGCTGACAATGGAACAATGCACCTCATTACTTTCAACACAAATGAGAAGAAAATCCCAATACGAAAAAATGACATGCTTCTTTTTATGAAAATATTATTTTCCAAGATGTGCTTGGGGAGGTGGTAAATATATTGGGTCGTTGGGAAAGTCATTACATATTTTTCTATGTTTTTCAATGCAAAAATGCGTTATGACTTTCCCGACGACCCAATAGTATTTATTGGGAAGGGCGGGACTTATATAAGTGTAATATTTCTTTATCTTAAGGAAATATTTTCTGTATAACAAATATATACAAAGATAGTAAACCAGGATAATATCACACACACACACACACACACACACACACACACAAAAATCAGTTTTAACATTAGGAGTAATTTCAACCTTCCTAACTAGAATATTCAAAGAAGGAAGTGTGTTCTCTATAATTCTGTGTGCAAAGATTGTTGTAAAATAATTCATCCTAATCTGCAGTTTATTCAGTAAACATTTCTTATTTCTTATGTGCCAGACACTTTTAGATGCTTGAAAGACTCAAAATGATACATATCAGCCAGTTTCTCAGAGATGACTCCACCGACCTTTCCCATCTCAGTTATGCCTATCTCTTAAAATGTTTCAGAACACTGTACTTTTTTCCAAAGTGCTATAGCAAATTATTATATGATTATTAATTAGTAGTAAGTAATATTAAATAATAGATTGGGGGATGCCGAGTGGCTCAGCTGGTTAAGAGAGTGAGCACTGAACAACAGGGTTGCCGGTTCGATTCCCACATAGGCCAGTGAGCCGCGCCCGAGCTGAGCTGCCGCTGAGCTGCCAACAGGCTTAGCTGGTGAGAGCACATGCTCCTAACAAGGTTGCCGGTTAAACTCCCGCATAGGATGGTGGGCTATGCCCACCTGCAACTAAGATTGAACACGGCCCCTTGAGCTAAGCAGCTGCGAGCTGCAAAGGGGCGGCCGGATAGGGACTGAACTTGGACCTGAGCCGGCTGTGCCCTCCACAACTGAGACCGAAGGACAACTTGGCTGTGCCCCTTCCCCAATGCCCCAATAAAATCTTAAAAACCAAAACCAAAACACATCTGCAATAAAAAATTAAATACATACAGATGTAAAGCTTTCTCTTCCACAATGCTGGAATTCTGTAAGGGTAAAGAACATGTTTGTTTTGATCACAACTATGTTCCCAGTAAATGCCTGCACAGTGCTTAGCAAATTTGTGGAATACATGATGAAACTAATTCTGTCATCAAGGAGCTCATAAGGGAGCTCATGTTGATTGATAAAGGTGGACAAAGAGGAGACAATACAAATGTATAGTAAAATCAGTAAATATACACATTTTAAATAAAAGAGCACAAATGTTACATGAATATGACAAAAATCTCAAGATGATACTTGAATGGCTAATGTGTCAGAGACACTGTCCTAGAAGAAAAAAATGCATACTTTGCTCAAAGGATATAACTGACAAGTGAAAATCATTTCCCTTTCTCTCCCCCCCCCCTTTTCTGATCTTTCTTTTATGCTACAGAGGCTCAACATTTTGAAATGCTCTCAGAACATCTCCTAGATGTCCTGTCAGCACCTCCAGTTCATTATGACTAAAATACAACTTGCTGCTTCCTCCCCCCACAGCCCAAAGGAAGTAAACAGGAATATCAGTATTCTACCTCATTAATAATCAGGAAATGCAAGTTAAATCCACAATACAATATCACTTCATCTCCATCAGATTAACCAAAAATTTTAAATCTGACAATATTAAGTGTCAGTGAAGATACGAAGCAATGTGAAATCTCAGACATTTTGAGAGGGACTATAAACTAACACAAACATTAAGAAGTCGACATTTCCAAAATACATATCCTACAGAAATCTTACACATCTATACTCTACAGGTTTTTTTTAAAATGTTTACTTTTTCATTAGTTCAACAAATATTTCATGAGTATCTACTAAGTTCTATGCACTTGATCATATCAATGAACAAAAGGAAAGACAAGAAACAAAAACATAGTCAGTAATTCATATACCAAAAGGTGTTAAGTGCTAATAAAAATGGGGAGGAGCTAAAAGAACAAGATAAAGGGTATCTGGAGTATAGGCAGTGGGGAGAAACAGCAGGTTGCAGTATTAAGTAGGGTGTTCAAAGTGGGCCTCTGAGAAATTCTGATTTGACCAAGGCTTGATGGAGCTGAGGAAGTTATTTGGGGAAGAGCAGTCCATCACATAGACCAATGGAGGCCAATGTGACTGGAGCCGAAGGAGGTAAAACACACAAGAGTAGGTATTGAGGTCAGACGGCAGGCCTTATAATGCACAACCTTGTGGAGCCTTGTAAAGGTTTTGACAGTGATAGAAGTCACTGCAGAGTTCTGGGCAGAGGAATGACATGACGTGACTTAGATTCCGACAGCCTCATTCTGGCTGCTGGGTTGAGAATGTGGGGTCGCAGGGTAGAAGCAGGAGAATTAGGAGGTTATTGTAAAAATTCAGGCAAGAGATAATGGTGCTTGGAAGGAGATAGTGAGAAAGCTTTGGATTCCAGGTATATTTTAAATGCAGATTTCCTGATAGATTAAATCTGAGGTATGAGAGAAAAAGAGAGGAGTCAAGGTTGACTCTGAGACCTCTGGCCTGAACAGGAAGGATGGAATCGTCATCAACTGACACAGTAGGTAGAGTCTGAGCTATACCTATAGTTATAGGTAATTATAAATAAAATAGGCTCTGTTACAGACACTTTTACAGACAGTACATAGAACCAAACAATTTAATTATTCAAAAATTTCCAACTATGCAAAGGAATTAAGAATGAAAAGAGACACTAATTGCAGTTTAAGTTTGGGGATGACCACTGCATTTTGATTACTCTTATTTAACTATGAAAAACAATAGCAGGTTATATATTAATGCATTATCAGTTTATAACATATTATACCTTAAGAATGGAACATTACACATAGCATGCTTTACTTTAGAAGCAAATGAAAAAGGTTTGAGTACTTTACATTTACTTAAATTATACAAACAATAATGCGGCTTTCCAAGTTCATGAAACTTTTCCAAACATTTAGGTTTAATGATTGAGAATTGACAATACATGGCTACACGGGTTTTATCAAAATAATTAACTATGGAGAATGTTGTGGATCAAAGCTCTTAAGAGAAAAAAAGAACTGTTAGCTTTAATTGCTAAGAAAGTTATTTTGAGTTATGTCTAGCATGGAAGGAAATAGGACAATTAAAAGTGGTGAATGAGAAGAAAGGCTTACATTTGAAGTTGCTCAGTAATTTATTTGTTTTTTTTGACTGGTAGGATTGGTATGAAGTGAATAAACCATTGTTTTCTAAGGCCTTAGGGTGTTTTCCAAGGCTGAGGGAAAATAAGCCCAAACTATTAAAGGAACCCGTTTCTAAATGAACAGCCTCCAATTTAGATGGAAATGCAAGGTTATCTAATCTTTAATCTAAAATTTAGCACTTTTACCCTTGTATAAACTATAATTATTTGAAAATATTTACTTGTTTGTAATTAATAACACAAACATAAACCTGATATTGTTCCAGACACATTACTACCTAATCAACACTAATAAAGTTACTCGGTATTATTGTCTCGTTTTAAAGATCACCAAAATAAATTGTAGCTATGATCTTTTTAGCACTCCACATGAGAAACAATCCAACAAGATTTAATTATGAACTATTTTTAGGATCTAGATCAGAGTTTCACAAGCCATTGACATTTCAGGTTGGATAATTCTTTGTTTGGGAAGGGGGTGTGGGGAGGCTGACTCACCCTCTGTAGGATGTCGGACAGATCCCTAGCCTGCACTCAGTAGATGCCAGGAGCAACTTCCGCAAGTTTTATCAAGTAAAAAAGTCTCCAGACAATACCAAAGGGGGGACTGTCTCTAGCTGAGAACCACTGGTCTAGAATAAGAGGCTTCAAGTAAATTAAAATTACATAATGGGTGTTGAAGCCTCAACAGCCTCACCATTCATAACTTGTAAGGGATTTGCACTACAGTGGGAACACAGACATCTGTGAGAATCCCTTCATGGGCACGGAAGTCCCCACTAGCATCCCCTTCCCTTCTCGGCCTTGGTCACCCAGGTGTGCTTCAGGGTTTGGAGAAATGAAAAGTAGCTTCTCTCCACTGGAGGGTGGGGAACATTTATTACTGGTCAATAAGTCAGTAAGTAGTACCCCATCTATTTGGCAGTAGCTGTCACAATACCAAGATGTAGCCCTACTTCAGAGACATGGGTGTCTTTATGACACACATTCTAAGTTGTAAACAAAGAACAACAGAAACAAAGCAAGTGGAGCAAACGTGGTGATGGAGCAGGGATTCATTCAACACTGAAGGCATGCTACACTGTGTGTGCTACGCATGGGGGATGCAGTAGCGCAAAAGGCAGAAAAAAACCCCAACACAGATGTGTAAAATATAGTGGGTCAGATTGTAACAAAGGAGAAAAAATAAAGTAGGCGTGGGGAAATATGAAATGTCTGAATGGAGGGTGGGGTTAAAAATTTAACTATGGGGGCCAGAGAAGGGCCCAAAATGAATGAGAATATTTTGAAAAAAAAAAAAAAAGAGGATAAAATGCTCTATGTAATCTATTTAACACAGTCATGCACAGCAAAGTGACATTTTGGTCAATGAAAAACCAAATATATGACTGCAGTCCCTTAAGATTATGATGGGCAAGGGCCGGCCAAGTGGCTCAGTTGGTTAAGAGCTCGCTCAAGAGTTTGAGCTCTGAGCAACAGTGGTTCGATTCCCAGCCCGAGCTGAGCAGCCGCTGAGGATGGCTCAGCTTAAAAACAAACAAACAAACAAAAAAGATTATAATGGAGCTGCAATCTCCTATTGCCTATTGATGTTGTAGCCGTCATAGTGTCATACTGCAATGCATTACTCAAGTGTCTGTGGGGATGCTGGTGTAAACGAACCCACTGCACTGCCAGTTGTATTAAAAGTATAGCACATACAATTATGTACAGTACATAATACTTGATAATGATAACAAACAACTGTTACCGGTTTTTGTATTTACTATGCTATACTTTTTATCATTATTTTAGAGGGTACTTTTTCTACTTATAAAAAACGTTTGCTGTAAACCAGTATGCCTTGCAGGCATCACCCTCATACTTCTTGTGTTTACTGCGCTTCTTGATTGCATCATTTTCTCTTGTGCTTGATTTAATCTCATGTTGCTTTGTACAATAACATGCCAAACAGGCTTGGAGTGTAGGAGCAATAGGCTATATACCATATAACCTAGGTGTGTAATAGGTTTGACCATCTAGGTATGTGAGCACACTCTGATGTTTGCACAACAACGAAATCAATTAATGATGCATTTTTCAGAATGTACCCCCATCATTAAGCGGCACACGGCTATAATCTGTGTTCCCTGTAGTTATATAAAATTGTATATATGAACTCATATTAAAATCAAAATAGGAAGTAAATAAGTAATTAAGTAGCAATATAATGACTTTAATATAGCTACAAACAGCAAATGCAAGATCAGATGTTGTCTCCCCAGAGAATATAATTATTTCAGTACACGGTAGCTCAGGAAGGACACTGCTATAATTTATCTCAATGACCTATGAAAAACAGTGAAGTAATGCAGTGATGCTTCCAAAAAAAGACTTTATAAATAATGAAATTCTTGCTTTTGTTCTGGGCAATTACATAAAATTAAATTATATTCATTTTTTTATATTCTTACCCCATTTAATTTTTGTCAGTTCTGGTCTAAGGAGCAAAATGGAATTTTGTGGTTTTCACATAAATAGCTTAATTAAATCAAGATCACAACATTTCTATGTTCATATTCACATCCATGTTATAGGTAAGTATATGGTCAAAAGGTTATAAACTCATGAATGGGCTATTCATTTGAATCACCAGTTATTTCACCTTGCTTGATAGCCATACTTCATACCACCATCAATATAGCTAGTAATGAGAAAAAAAGAAAACTATTCCATGATGTGGAAGATTCCATTTAAAATCCTTTTTAAGGGTCTCTTTCAGAAATCTTTAAAACATAAGAACTTTAGAATGCTGAACATTCAGTCAAGAAACAATACTGGGCATTTGTAGAATGACTATATTTTGGAAAAATCAATTTCTATTTGGTTTATTTTGTATTTGCTTTGGTCTTTCTCCTTGCAAGGAAAAAAGTGCTCTAGAGAATGCATTATGAAAGAGCTGGTGTTTTGAATGTTCAGCATTCAATGTAAATAAAAATCTATTAGGAAGAAACTACACATTAAACCACGGTGGAGTTTAGCTCTATACTTCATTTCAGAAGGCCTTGCTGTCATCAAAATTATAATTTTGTGCTTCTCAAAATTAATACCCACTTTACTAGAAATTTATTTGTAAAAGGAAATGGTCACTGAACAAAACAATGATTCAAAGAGTTCTACCATTTTAATTGTTTTGCCACTTGTTGGCTACTCCATTCCTGAATGGAGGGGCCCTTTAATTTTTGTGGATGACTTTACTAAGAAGGCTTTTCAAGTCTAGGTTCCTTAATAGTCTAAAGTCGTCTTCTTGCTAAGTATCTTAAACACTGTTTTAGAATGATCTGCTTCACAGGTCCTCTGACATCTAGCAAGTCATAATGCCTTCTGACAGCACTTCCAAACACATTTATTTGTTACACGTTTATTAGGCAAAAAAGTTAACTTAGGCCTTGTACTAAGTCAAGAATAATGCATGAAGAGACCACAGTGCCCTTACGGGGACATGTAGCCAATTTGTGCAATGTGAAAAGAACCATGATAGAGAAATTATTAAGGTGTTTTGGGAGCAGAGCAAATACTCAACTCTTTCTGAGTAGGTTCACAGACTGACTTTTCTCCTGAAGAAATAAATGCACCCAATTCCTCCCATTTATAGCTTAAAACTCTTTTTCAGTGGCCATTATTCTTCTGGGCAGACTTCACTGATGAACAAAGCACCCAACCTGTTAAAAAAAATCCTGATCCACATACCTTGTGGCTTTGGATATGCAGCCGAGTGTTTCGCTGGCGTTTTTCCATTTATTCCCTGAGCCTCTTCGTCAGATACATTCTGATCACTCAGTATGGTTGTGCTCCTTTTCAAAAAAGGTGGAATTATAGTGACCTTTGGACAGGTACTGCTGCCTGGGAGAGTTTAAAAAAAAAAAAAGGCAGGTAAATGTAGAGGCGGAGCAAAACTATGTCTCATGACTTAAATTTCTTCTGACCCCATTAAACAAAAACAATCACAGCTACAAGACTGTGCATAGCAATACTTTTCCCATGTGTGCTGGCCTTGACAAAGTGTTCCTGGGAAAGATCTCATTCCTGTGCTTCAGAAACCTTATAATGCACACTGACAGAGACTGCTATGTGTGCACGTGCATGCACACGCAACCTCCTTTCCTTACAGGGCCATGGAAAGGGCAGAATGCAGCTGCCACGATGCAGACAAGCAGGCTAAGGAGAGGACGGGAGGGCCCTCGCATTAATCTGTTAAAAGCTTTCTTTTCCAGCATCCAGTCAGTGAGCTACGCAAAAGAACAAAGCAGGAAAGCACCAACATGACAGCTGATTTAAAGACTATGAGAATGGCTCAATAAGAAATGAACAAAACGAAAGAGAAATCAACAAATACACACATACACACACACACACACACACACACACACACACACCCTCTCTCACTCACTAGCTTACTCCAATTCCAAACCAACATATATAAGCTAATACTCATGTTTTCAAAAAAAAGAGTGGTGAGGTTATATGGATAACACAGTTATGTATTTACAACTCAGAACCCGCAAGTATGCTTTAAAACACTAAAATACTCGTACATTGTGAGAGATCGATGGAGAAGAGATTAATTTTTTTGTTTGATTTCTGATATAAGAAGTTAAATGTTGAATTTCAGAGACTTTTAAAGAAACCATATACCAATGTGTTCTTTTTATACTCATTTTAAATTTCCCTTCCATCTAGTTTGACATGATGATATTAACAACAGATTGGACCTTGCTTAGGAGAAAACAAAATTTCTACCAGGGAATTCACCGTCACTAAATAAAAGTATGCCATTTAAGAAACTATGATTTGGTTAAAAAAAAAAAAGAGTTTCATTTTTACAGAATCCAAATATCTATGAAAGAGAACTATTAGAGATAAAATGTCTTTATTATTCAAAACAAGACAAGTTAATAAAACCCAATTTCTACTGAGTATAAAAATTCCTTTTTATTTCAATTGATTATTAAATAATACGGATTAAAAATCACACTATTACTTTATTTTCTGTGCTCCCCTTAAAATGTATCTTGCTAAAACAAATTTTAGAAGATATTCATAGTTCCAAGTTTTGTCTGAGAAGTTGAGACCCAATGTTAAAACAAAATAAAGCACACCATTCTGCTAAAATGAGCTGCCAGCTGGAGTAAGCATTGTTTAGCCAAATATGACAAAGGCCTTGAATGCAAGATTAATGGAAGGTTATTTGATAGCGTATTACTCAAATTGTAAGCAGAAGGAGTAAAAGCTCAAATCTTTAAATGTATGGTTTTATCTATATTCTTAGAAAAACCATGTGAAGTAGGAAAAATATATCCCTAAAATCTAAGGCATATCATCCAACCACTTAGCCTTTTAGGGCCAGGAGAATGTTTGTTCCACAGTGATTCCCAAGAATGGTTTGGTAATCCTACCGGCCACCTGCTAGGGTCTCATGAAGGACGGCGGGCCACACAGTGAAAAACCACAGCTCAACTACAAAGCAGAGGCCGAGACGGCAATGTGACTGTAAGAAATGAGACACTGTGAAAGCGAGAACGCAGCTTTAGAGACAATTTATAGAAACAAAACTATGAAAAGTGGGCAGCTAATGGGATGAAAGACGACAAATGAAATTGAATCTAAAAAAAACCCCAAAAACCAGATCCCTGTTACTATTAAGAAACTACTTTCATAATGAGCCTATTTAGAAACAAAGCATGTCTTATATAATCATTTGAAACTGAAAACTCACTTAATTTCTGGATAGCGAACTTTCAGGTAACAATAAGTTTTACAAATGTCATTTATTAGAGAATATTTCACGTGAATATGCTGAAAAGCCTTCAGTAAGAGATCAACTTCAAATCCATTTTCTTATAAATCCATTAAAGTCATGATTACAAATCTTTTGCTCATGACAACAAATCCACAGCCAGAAACTTCATTTCAGATCCCTGTTTAAAACCAGTCTCGAGGGGCAGCCGGTTAGCTCAGTTGGTTAGAGCGCAGGTTGCTCATAACACTTAGGTTGCTGGTTCTATCCTGACATGGGCCACTGAGCTGCACCCTCCACAACTAGACTGAAACAACTACTAGACTTGGAGCTGATGGGTCCTGGAAAAACACACTGTTCCCCAATAAAAAACAAACAAACAAACAAACAAACAAACAAACACCGCCTCCAAACTGCCAGCATTATTGCACAGCATGAAAATATGGTAAAAGACAGAAAACACATTCTTAACGGGGTTTTTAAAAAAAGTAATTAGGGATACATGCAACAGAGACCATATGTGGCTGCAAAGCCAAAACTATTTACTATCTGGCCCATTACAGGAAAAGTTAGCCAACCACTGGTCTAGATCAAACACATTAGGGTAAAGAAGGTGTGCCTAAATAAAGCACCATTTCATTAAATACTTCATCTTCTAACATCTTGCATGCTAGCAATTAAAAGTTAAACTTCTTCTTGCTTGTTTATGACTGACTCCGTCTACTCACTTTTGGAGACAGTTTTTATTTGGGTGCCAGTTGCCTAACAGGGAATTGAAAGTGAAATTGTAACCAGATGGTCCACCCATTCAAAAGAATTTATATTAGTTACAGAGGCTTTTAGATTCCAATTTACCAAGAAGAACCAGAAGGAATGATTAAACAGTTATCTTGGACACAGATACAACTATGTTTGCACAGGGGGAGTCCTAATTAAATACTGCTTTTTTCTTGAAGATTGGTAATCTTTTTAGCCACTGGTCCTAACCATTTTGAATTCCTCTGTTTGGGGTTTCTTACTTACACTTGCTGGGTCTTATCTCCTAAAAAGAATGTCCTGGACATGTGCTAACTGCAGAGGCTCCTCAGATTTTCTCAATTAATCCAGCCTCATCTTTGACTGCATTAGGCTCTCTGTTCCAACTGGAAAAAGGTTGCCCCTCTGGCTTAACTTTCATTTATCTGTCTTCTTTTGCAGGACACTTAGGAGTGGCAGATAATACCTCTGACTTTGCCTGCTATTTGCAAAACTTTTTGTTGGGTTGTTATGTTTTGCCAAATCATTCTTGAATGGCTTGTTCACATTTTAAGGCTGGTCTTACTCATTGGCCATCCATTCGAAAACAAGGTCCCATCAGTTCTCTGATTCTTCAGGTCTGATCTCATTCCATGACCTCAGATCACATCGTTATGGCCTTGCTATGGCTGTGTCTATACTGCCTCACCCATCCATAACATCTCTCCCGTTGCAACAAGCCTCTAGCCCAGAATATCTCAATGAACTCCACTCCTCGGGACAAGAGGGTCTCTTAAATTTAAGAGGACAGAAGTAGTTTCCTAGGGGAGACAATCTTTTCAGCAGTACATTGTCCACAAGTAAAGAGATAACTTAAAAAAACAAAATAACTTTATTTTGAAATAATTTTGGATTTACAGAAGAGTTGTGCTCAGGTTCCTAAATTTAGCGCCTTACAAAACTATGGTACATTTATCAAAACTAAGAACTTAATATTGGTACAATATTAAACCACAGATTTCATTCAGATTTTACCAATGTTTCCACAAACATCCTTTTTCTGTTATAGGATCCAATCAAGATATCATGTTGCATTTAGTTTTCATTGTCTCCCTTAGTGTACTCCATTCTATGAATTAATCAGTCTTTGCTTGTCATGCCTGACCTTGGCATTTTTGAAGGTCAGGCATTCTGTAGAATGTCCTTCAAATTGGGCATACACATACAATGGAATATTATTCAACCTTAAAAACGAAGGAAATTCTAAAGCATGCTACAACATGATTGACCTCCAAGCAATCATACGAAATGAAACAAGCCAGCTGAAACACAAATACTGTATAATTCCACTTGTATGAGAGTAGTCAAAATCAGAGGCAGAAAGTAGAATGGTGGTTCCCAGGGACTGGCGGTGTTGGAGAATGCAAAGTTATTGTTTAATGGATACAGAGTTTCAGCTTTGCAAGATGAAGCAAGTTCTGTGGATGGATGGTAGTCATGGCAGCACAAGAATGTGAATGCACTTAATGCCAATGAATTGTGCACGTAAAATGGTTAAGACGGTTAATTGTGCTGTGCACATAATTTTTAAAAATTGTATATTAAAATAAGCATATCTCTTGCTTAATGAAGAAAAAGTCAAGGGATATTAATACATACATTCAATTGGCTACTGAGCATTTCCACTAGTATGTCTGAGCTATCTCACATTCAACATACCCAAATCTGATTCCATCACCTCCCAACTCTCACTCAAAAGCCTTCTCCATTTCAGTTAATGGAAACTTTATGTATGAGGAAGCATCCTCAAGTGCTCTCTTTTTCTCTCACACTCCACATCCTATTCATTAAGAAAGTCTGCTGACTGCCATCTACCACCACCAGCGCCACTGCTACTATTCTGGCCTCAATTACCATACTCTTTAACTGGATTTCAGCAAGACCCTCTACCCAGTCTCCCTGCTCCTACACTTGTCCTCAGTAGAGTCCATACTTTCAACCAGGACCAGAGCGATCCCTTTTATTACCCAAGTCGGATCATGTCACCGCTGTGCTTAAAATTCTCCAGTGGCTCCATATTTCACTCAGAGTAAAAATTCAGCTTTTTACAGTGGCTGATGGTGATCTGGCCCTCGTCCCCTTTCCACTGATCTCAGTGCTAGTATTGCCCCTTTGCTCACTCCACTCAGTAATACTCGTTCCCTTGTTGTTCCTCCAACAGGCCAAGCATACCTTAGGGACGCTGGTAGAGTTGTCAATAGGAGCTACCCTGACAACTTTACCTCGCATTAGTGCTCCTCTTATCGTATTTTCCATTTTATTTTTTCCAAAGCATTTATCACCTTCTAACAAACTACATTATTTATTTTGT